TTTTTTACAATTCAAAAATTATAATAGAAAACTGCACTAAATCTCTAGCAATCACAACTGTTGAACATACAACTACTAAACTTCCCATCTCTTCTCATCTCAATCTCATGCTCTGTCTATAACTGATACTAATTTTATTTCTTTTTATATTTATATCTATGTATATATATTTTTTCTCTTTCTACCTCTTCTTTTCTTTATTTTTCCTACAACCGATTTAAAGCGTAATAATTCTTGTAACTACTCAGCTCGTTTAGTTTTTGCTATTTTGAGTAATTTTGTTGCTTATTTAAGTTTAATGTATTCTTTTGTTGAATGATATTCTATGTATTACGCAAAATAAAATGGTTGTTGTGGTGGTTGTTGTTGTTGTTGTTGTTGTTGTTGTTGTTGTTGTTGTTGTTGTTAGAAAAATCACAAAAATTGTTATTTATATAGGTCAGGAATGACCGGCGCCACACATGAAGATTGAAACACAATGTTAACACGCCTCAAGTCATTTAGAATACAGTGGCAGTTTTTAATGTTCCTACATGTACATGTATAAAGTGCTGTCAATAGCACTGACTTACAATTGCTTACAAAGAGCCCCAATCCAAACAGAATGATGGTACGGCGTACAATCTTGACACAAATAGTCAATGGCCTCACTTGGCGATGTCTCAGGGATCGGAATGAAATTACTATAGAAACTCCCATGATCCACATAAACCTGGTGAAACACAGAGTAAAAGAAATCCAGGAAAGCTTTCCACAATCTTTTATTATGTTTAGGATATTTTAATAAGAAAAAGGAAACAAAAAGGACGAAAACATACATAATGTACATAAACGAATATTAAATACATACTGTACATATCGCTAAAAAATGTTGATTGGTAACTGCGAGAAGTCCTGATACCATTGTGTAACGAAAATTGATCGTTGCGCTTTTTCTTTTAGTTTATGGTTTGTGGTTATCAGTGACGTTTTGAGGCCGTTCTGTTGAAAGCGTTTCCAACTAGTTTTAGTTTCCCTGTTGGAATCGCTTTGAAACGGCCTCAAAACGTCACGGAAACACAGGAAGCACACAAAAGAGTCGAAATTAGTCGTTCTCACTGAATTTCAGTTCCATATTCCGAATTGTTATAAACGGTCGTTACATTCACATATACAAACTCTTATATTTACGCTGTGTTATGCAACTGAATGTAACGATCAAAATGTTCACCCTCTTTAACCCCCCTCTACACGTTTAAAATTCCCGCAAATTTATAACAGAAACTGAAAATAAGTGGTTATTTGGAGGAATCTGCTAAGTGGCAAGAATTATTTTTGTTACTTAGGGAAACACGCCACAACTACTCTAAATGAATGGTTTCCACACTGTACATGCGCATTCCAACATACCATGGAAACACAAGATCTGCCACTGTAAGTCCTGTCAAGTTTAAAACAAAGAACTATATCAAACTAGCTTACAAAAAGCAAGTGAACATGTGAATTAACAACCGAACATTTTTTTTTTTCAGATTTAATCTACTCTGTAAGATACCTACGTCATGTACCAACAGCCGTATGTCCCAAATTGTTATAGAAATTTTGATATAATAACTCAGGTACAAGCAAATATAAATGTATGTACACATAGGCCTGTAATAAAACTCTAAATAGAATGAAATTTTGCACACTTCCCTTTATAGTATTAGTGCTAAGGGGAGGTGCATGTACTTCTTGATTATATATTTTCCAGCACTCTCCTAATTCTTTAGAAGAAACTCACCATTCCATCTGGCATGTTTGAAAAAGTAATATCCACCTCCCCCATAGTTCACAAAGATCATTATTGTCAGAGCAATCCTACAAAAAAAGAAATGTTTATAAACGGTCGATATCAAAATCTATTCATGCATCTACAAGATTGAAGCCAGACAAACTCTCAAGCAGATTTTCCTCACTGTCTGCTACAAAACAGAGTCAAGTTTATGTCGCTGTAACAACAGCTTCTCCTGTCAGTTTCCAAGGTAGTATTGAGTGATTCAGGGGCTACTCTAGAAAGTTTTATATGGGGAGGCTCTGCCGCGAGGTTCAACCCCTTACCCTTCTGTACAGCATTTTGACAGAAAAGCTACCACTTTTGTATACCTTTTACTGATGAAAAAGTTACCTCTTTCACATACCTACTTAACAACACTCCATCTCTTTTCTAAATGCAGGGGATGAAGTTAGGAACAATAATGGGTGAACACCGAGCATTACCAGAGGAGATGTTAACCAAAAAAGAAGTTTTATTTGTTCAGTTCTTGTTGTGGCAGAAGTCGAGATACTCCAATCTCCCTAACCTTTCAGGTACCTCAACTTGTGAAATCCCAACCCTTCAATATACCGGAAGCCTGAGAAAGGTACCCATTTTGGGTGGGCCTCCCTATAACAGCCACTTTCGGGAGAACCCCCTTCCCCAGGAGTATACAGTATAGGCTACTCGAGCATTTCAATGTTGGGCTCCCTGCTACAGTATATGCCAGTAGCCTTACGAACATACCACTGTGTGGGTTTATTCAGTGTGGCTGTATGGCTGGCACTGTGAGAGAAAAGGACTTTTCTCAAGAACAGTCACCACAAACATGTGTGTCTAGATACAACAGCATTTAAACTCACCCACGAAATGTATCCAGTGACTTGAGTCTTTGCTTCTTTATTTGTTTTTCTGGCTGCAAAAGGAAGGAAAAGCTTGCATTTAAAGCTACACTGTATATTTATGGATGATACTAAAATCAAATAGCTGGTTGGTGTGATTTTGATTACTTTGTTTCCTAAGAACATGTATAAGTAACTTCATTGCCTGCACTGTGTATTATTCATACGAAGGAAGTTCAGTACAATAATATACTACAGTAGAACCCCTACTAACAGCCACCCCATTAATACGGCCCTCTTGTTATTATGGCCATTTTATTCTGGCCCAAACAACAGTTCAGTCACTCGGGTTTGTTTTGTTTTGTTTAGTGTTGTTTTTTTTAATTTAAAGAACCCCTTTAATACGGCCACCCCATTCATACAGCCAGATTTTTGTGGCCTGTTGGTGACTGGATTAATAGAGTTCCACTGTACATGTAATTAACATGAAAACAACAGTAGACCCCTTTAAATCCGGCCACCGAAGGCCTGCAAAACTCTAGCATTATTAATGAGTTGGCTGTATTAAAGGGGTTGAAAATGACTGGCTGAGTTTTTGTTTGGGCCACAATAATGAGGTGGCCCCAGGGCAGGGTTCCACCGTTCCAGTAGAGTATAAGATATTCATCCAACTAAAAACAAAATAAAAATTATAATTAACACACCATATCATCATGATCCACAGGACTCTCAGACCCATTGAAAGTGGGGCTTCCAAGATCCTGGAGGATTTGAAAAACAAAAGAGAAAAATAATATAATTGACATTTAATTTAGCACAGAAGGTGGATTACTACCCCTGGTGTCAATACCAGAAAGCTTGCAAGGATTGAGTGGGTGCATGGAAAAAGACCCTTGGTGACATCTGATAGTCAGAGACTGCAAGATTCTCCTCAAAAATTGCTTTTTGATTCCTTCTACAAAAAGGAGAATTTGACCTGAGATCAAGAGTCACTTGGGGCTTATTTCCACACATCACTTTAATTAATATATAGCACCAGAATGTGCTTCAACAAAAACCACATTTATTTTAATTCTAATTTTCCCCCTAACACCATCAGACACACACATAGATCTACACTTTGATGCCTTCAAATTACACTTTTAATTGTTACAAGTCATGTACGGGTGAAGCGCAAACGCTGAATATCCCCAGGCAGAGTGGGCAGCTGGCTGGTAAAACTGCCTTGTTTCCTGAGTCACAGAAATAATGATTGTTGTCATCCTGGATTTGCCAGGATATTCAAGTTGAACAATATCCTACAGGTACAGTAAGTCATTCTAATTGAAGAAGTTCCTTTTCAAAACATTTTCCCCAAATATTTTTTACTGTATATCTACCATATAATTATTTGATCCCTTACTGCATTTATAAGACTTTCTATGTCATGAAACAGTCTCCAGTTGACCAACAGGTTGTACCTCCTACGAATGGGAAATAGTCACAAAATTAAAACAAATAAAGAAATAAATATAAATTAAAAATAAAATATTAAAAAATATATAAATTAATGTTTAATAAACATATAAGTGATCCAATAGTTTTCACAGTTAATGTTAAGCCTGATAGAAAGATAAGAGAAAGTAAGCAAAGAATTTAATTTTGTAGCTATAAGTCTAGACTGTACCTGAATATTACAAACCAGAGGTTGCTTTCTATCTTTTAAAATTAGGTAGGAAAAAATACATTACACATGTCAACACCATGATTAATAACTAATCAATAAGTTAAGAGTGAAATGCACCTGTCCAACAATGAAAAAATCGTGAATTTGGCAGTTCAACTTCATGGCAGCATTTTCAAACTACACTAACTGGCTAAATGTCACTTGAGGCCCAAATTCTTACCTCAACAGATACAGCAGCACATTCCATAAAATTGCAGCTCCCAAAATAGCCAAAAAGGCATACAGTAGAGCTGAAGACAAAGAAAATATTAGAAAATATTACTAACGGTATATACCAATAAGGTGTTGTGTGAAGTATGACATGTTCACAACTTTTGAATATTCAGTCCTGCTACATGTAAGTACTATATTTGAAGCTGCAAGAGTCACCGAGTGCAAGTTGGTGCATTTAAAAATTTCAGTCTCACAACTGGGATGAGTTACATTATACTTGTTGAATTCTGAGGTTTACACTGAAAATTCAAAATGAAACTAAAATGAAATTTGTTCAATCAGTGTTTCCTATAATGAAGTTCTCTAAAAAATTGAGTGCTGATAAAATGGACAACTCCTTCCAAATTAAACATAACTTCTAAAACATGTACATGCGAGTGCTCAAAATATATTATAAACTGACCACATTCAAGTATAACAGTTTGTTTGTTTATCTATATTCCCATTTAGAAATATAATAACAACATATCAATGTATAAATTATAGGCAAGGAAGCCTAGAAAAGCCAAAAATGTAAAGAACAGCTACCTTAAAATATCTAGGTCTTAATAAGAGAATAAAAATGTTGTTAAGCAAAACTAACCGTGCAAATGCGCAAAAGAAAAGGAAGGGGAAAAAAGCGAAAAAAGCACACACAAGCACACTAAGAGAAGTAAGATATACTTGCACCAAGAAAGATGACTTAAGTTTAGAGGTGAACATAGAAATACTAGAGGCATTTTAAATTTCAGTGCTGAGAGAATAAATAAAATGGGGCCTTGAAAACAGAGAGAGAATTTCTTAACATTTTTCCTACAATAAGGTAACAGTTTGGGCAAAAGTTAGCTGCCTTAGTTTTAAGTTTTATTGAAAGAGAGGTTCTAAATTACTTCACTGCCTACAGTACATGTATACGTGAATAAGAGGTAGCCATTTGAATATACATAAGCTGTTTAATCAAATAATTTTTCTTTAGATTTTCAAAATATATCATATAGCACTTAACAAAATACCCCTTTTGAGTTTCTGATTACAAATTATTATAATTGACTAAATGTCTAGCCCGCAAGACAGAGATTCCTTTCTTTTTCTGCTCTGTCTCACAGGGTGAATGCACTGGGATAACATATTACAATGGTTTACAATAGATTATGATTGCTCAAAAAATTAATAAGCTTGTACTCACGCCAGTATACATTATCTGGTTTTTCCTTCCTCTCGAGTGCACAGGCTGTATTTTCTTTGAAAGCACGAATCTTATAAGAATACAAGCCATGTTCTCCAAAACTGTACTGCACTGGACTACAAAACAAAATGTTTACTGGGAACAGTTGAACCTCAATTATCCGGACTTGTTGGGACTAAACAAAATACATGTAGTCCAGATAATCGAGGGTCTGGATAATCAAAAATATGAATATTAATGAAGAACAAAACTGTTTAAATAAAGCAACATTTAATAATGAAACAACACTTTTACAAATCACTTGGAAAACAATATGGTCTACTGTACATCTTGAACCACTAAACTCGATCTGAACCAATCAGAACTCATTCAAGTGTTCTTCATTAGTTACGACATGTGCATGCGCTGCTTTTGCTCTTTAAAAGCAAAACAAACTCGCTTTTGACTGCACTTTTCAATGCTATAGTTTTAAAAAGAATATTGCTACAGATCTTGATCACGATGAATAAATATTCATGACAAAATTGGGACTAGAGAAAAAGTCTGGATAATCGAGAAACCCAGATAATTTAGGTACGGATAATCGAGGTTCGACTGTACTTAAACAAGCTCAGATCATATCCTGAAAAACAATATAACAAAGTAGTTGTAACAAAAGTGGTTTCCTACAATTTGAGAGAAATCTTATTTGAACATTGGGAAAATGACTCAAAACCTCACAACATACTAACACCATATCCTAATTCTTTCCGCCCCTGATAAATGCCGAGTTCAAATGAATGAAAACAGAGTCTACCAATCCTAATTTTAAAAAACTTGTCCCTGGCAGTTTTTCAAATTAATTATCACCATCTAATGTGAAGAGCAGCATTTATTTGAACCCAGCCTCATGTGACTGATTCCCACAATTACATGTAGCAAGGTGCACCAGCAATGGGCGACAAAAGTACAAAAGTACATGTAGTTGAGACAGTTCACTGAATCAAGTGCTAATTGTAATAAAGTTATTTCACTTATTCCATTTCAAATCCAGTTTACATTGACAGCCANCACCCCTTCCCCTTTTCAATGTTGTACAGGAAAGAGGCAAGTTCTAGAGAGGGGAAATCCAACATTGCTTTGGGGGGAGGGGGTTTTGTCGTACGGTTGAGGTTGGAAATTCACCTTAGTACTCTAAAACAGCAAAGTGTCTCAGCACTTTAATTTTGTTGCCCTTCGAGGGTCCAAAATTTTTTATACAATTGTTGGTTCTACAAGCCTGATTTTAATCAGTAAAATACCATGCAGTGAAGCCCTGTCAATATTACCAGCAGCTAAGGGATATGCAAAAGTGTCTGTAATAAGCAGGAGTCTTTAGGAAGTAGATACCTATAAAGTTAGGTGTTACTTGTACTGCTAGTAACTCCATTTTTAAAATAAACCCCTTCTAATCAGTATTCATTGTTTTTAGAACAAACTAATACTAACATAAATTTACATTGTTAACTATTACATGCTGTTTAACTTTGGTGATCAACTTCCCTGTTTATCAGAATCTGCTCTAGATAGATAACAACAGCAGCACCTTTTCATATCATACCTGTCCTTTTTCTGTCATGTGCAAACTTTCAAGAATCAATTTTGTGCATAAAAAATAATGCTTTGTTTACTACTGTAAGTTATACTTACTGGCATACTATTTTGTCCTTCACGGAGCTATTGACAGCCAGTGTGAAACTAAAATTGGTTGGTACTGTTATGTTACATATAAATCCCTTTGACAAATTTTCTATTATAAGCTGAAGACCACACTATATTGGGAAAATAAAAAGAAATCCAATTTAATATGTTGCTTATGGCCTACAAAGCAAGGGGAGAAAAATAGGTATTTGTCTCAACTAACAATGCAACCTTTGGACAGTCTGGGCACAGAGCTTCTCACTTGAAAATGATTGTCAAGAATGTCTGACTGATGAACAGCTCAAGTAGTGATGGAGATACGGATGGATAGGTAGGGATTTGAAAAAGTTTTTAAAAAGTACAGCTGTAGAAAGCAAAAACTGTACAGCAGGTAGCTACTGGGCAGTTCAATTTTTACTATGATGTCATTAATTCAAGAGACAGTAGGAAGCATATTTAGCTGAAAGTGCTTGACATTACATTGTAGACTGCAAATTTTGCTGGTTACCAGCTGATGGACTGAATGTCAGTCTGCCAGTCACTGGCAGTCTGTTTGACTGCCTGACTGGTTGACCTGTTGACCAACTCAAAACTGAGTGCCTGTCTGTCTTACCACAGAAAGACAGGCAGAGAGTGGCATAGACAGACTGACAGATGGGCAAACAGACATATGGACAGACAGACAAGTCTATCTGTCTGTGTCTGTCAGCCTAATTTATATTCTGTCTGTCTCTCTGACTGGTCAGTTGATTGTGTGACAAACATTAGTGTAACTGACTAACTAACTGACTAACTGTCTGATCAATGACTGACTGACTATCTACATGTATCTACATGTATCTACATGTATATATCTCTATATCCATCTATCTATCTGAATCTGTCTGTCTGTGTGCCTGTCTGTCCGTCTGTCTGTCTTTGTGCTAGATGACAGATTCACTGGCTATCAGTACCTGAGTCCCTAACTGCTTGATTGACCCTATTTATATTTACAATACCTTGTGACAGTTGCTTGAGACACCAAACACATTGACTGGATTTTTCATATCAGAGTTCAGCATTACCAAGGCTGTGTCCATTCGTAATGATTTTGGGTCATCATACTTGTGTTTGTCACACTGTGCACTCTGACTACCAAGACCTAATGTACATGATATACAGTCAGTTTCACAAAGTCAGTAATCATAGCATAGTAGAGTGTGGAGCTGGGACCTCACCCAGCTGAATCTGTGGCTACCCCAAGACAAGAACTGGGAGATAAGAGGGCATGCACAGAAAGATTTTTTCAAAACTGTGGCCATGCCTGATCACATATTCAAACATGCTTTGAAGCGAGTTTCCTTTAGGGTGGCTTCATATGGTAATCATTTAAGGCGTTGTGCGTGCAAGTGTTATGTTTTGAATGTTGTTTTTGCATTCGCTTTCACACCTAGTCCTCTCAAACTTATTACACATAATAAGCAATGATTAAATACTGTTTTGCTATCATCTCTGTTAAAATTTTGAGATTTAGTCTTAAATTATAAAAGCCCAAACAAATGTGTTTTTACTGTTTTTATGGCTTTATTTGTGATTTTCAATTATTTCCTTCGGTGAAACCTTTCAAAATTTTTACATCACATCGTTTCCTGCGGGATACGAATTTTAAAAACGAAAAAAGTAGGGTTTGTAAAGGCGGTTTTTTCGATATTTTCAAATTTATGTCTTTTACCGCTGCAAAGAATCTGGTCTTTTAGATTCCTCTGAAAAACGAGCTCCAACTTAAGTAAAATATTTACTACCAATCTGCCAAATTTTATGGAATTTCACCGAAGGAAACGCAAGAAAATTCCCTGTCAGTTTTGCTTTTTGTGCTCATGTTGACGTAATAAAACATCAAAAAACACTGGCGTTTTCCTTTGAGTGCGCGCAGATTACTTCCTCAGCCCTCGTGCGATCGTAAAACTATAGAGAAGCCACCTTAAGTCAGTGTGCCTAATGGGCTTTGTCTGCAAGATATCTGGGAACAAGATAATCTGTCAACATCAACAGACACCAACATGGCCACCACTTCATTGTTCTGGGACACTAATATGGCTGTCCTGACATCATGCAAAAATACTCTGTAGGAAATACAGTAAGGTATATTCATGTGTCTAACTGGTAAACTGTTACTATCGTAAGTGTGCTATGACGTCAACTCTGTTCAGATAAAATGTTTGATTCCTCAATCATTGGAAAGTCAACAAACTATAAGTTTAAACGTTCTTAATCAAATTTACAACATATATTTGTATGAGGTCACATAATAACAGTCTGTTGTTCAAATTTTAGTCGATAAATTTCCATCACTCGCGGACTTCATCTGCCATCTGAAATCACATGATTCGGTGAAAAATAATTTTTACATGTAACTATTCTGAGCTAAGTTAAAATCAAGGCAAAGAAGGAAAACATCTTAGGTTCGTTTAAAGACACCTGAATAAATAGCAAACATTAATTCGCGTGAGAGTAAGCTTATCGCTGAAGCTTAAGCTAGCAACCTACAAAGGCGGCCACCAAGCACAGAAGTACAGCGACTTGTCAGAATTTTGGAAAAGTGACAACTCGCAAGATTCATATCATTTCATGTATCTGTGTACTTTATGCCGAGTATCGAGACTTGTAACGCATACATTTAGAGCACACTCACCTAATCTCTGAGTAGAAAGCACTGCCAAGATCAAAAATATCACCGAAAACGCCATAAATACTCTTCCGCCCTCTGCACGGAATTCCATGAAACGATCACGGCCGTGAGGAACTAGAACTAGATAGACTGGGGGCCGGAAACGATTTCATTTCATTTCCTGCTTTTCCTGTATTTTACTACGTGCGTCCGATCAGAACTGTTGATCTCCAAGATTTTATTCTTGAAAGGGATAGTAACAAGACTAATAATTTCGTTTTGGAAAATTCAAATCATTTTTCGAGATTTTGGGGAAGGGAAATTATTAGTATCTTTTCAAAACGCAAGTGAAATTGTTTCGTAATTTTACGACTAGTATGTCATTTGAGTTAATACCTATTAATAATATGGGTGAGAAATTACACTTAAAATCTTGGGTTTTTGACAGGCAGGTATGTTTGGCAGGTTGCAGGTTGTTTTACACCCGAGTGAGTCTACTCTAGCACTTCGGTTAGCCTGAATAGCACTTCGGTCAGGCTAAATTAGCTTAGGTTGCTTGCGGTTAGCCTTTGAGTTTATACTGGGGTTTATTCGACCCAAATAAACAAGTCGTTTTAAACTGCAATCTGCAACCTGCAAAATATACCTGCCGGTTTTTGAATTGCTTATTGCGTCGAGCAATTTCGCTCCAAACGTTACCGTGGCAATTTTGTAATTCCACAAGGGAAATCATAATTATATACATTTGTATTAACGCTGAAATTTCGCGCCAAAGTTGAGGACTAATTTGTCCGGGGGGGGAGGACTCCCGTGAAAAAAGGACGTGCTCGTCGTACGTTTTAGGGATTAAAAAAGTGGTTTTGGTAGCTCTTAGGGAGTTGAGCCTCAAAAGGTCCACAGCAGGAGCTTTTGCGGTACCTTTTATAGGGTATTGAGCGGGAAAAAAAATGACAGGAGATATTTGAAAATCTTTTAACTATTAATTTTGTCTCAAAATTAGCACCTCTATTATAAGGGAGTAAAAAAAAAAAGAAAAGGAAAAAGAAAAGAAAAGAAAAAGCTACAGCCACAAGACAGGAACTTGGTACCTCTTAGGATTTTTTTTTTCAAAATTTCCGACGATCACCCCCGTCCTCTTTATATTGGAGTCCCCCCGGGTAATTTGTCGTAATATCAACCTACGGAGGTTTTTAACACTCCTGTATGCATCATTTTCTAGCTCGAAGGTCGAAACGTTGATTATAATTATCATTACTGTTATTAAAAAAGGGAATGGGGGAAAATCAAAAGAAATCATTTTCTCTTGGGGAAAATACATGTATTTCACACGGGCCACTCGAAAGATTAAACTAATTAATTAATACTAGTCTACGGGCCCTTGTGTTTTGGGTAAATATTTGCATGGTTTGACATCTCATGATCACACGGCACGCCTTGTAGGTCACAGAGGTGATATAACATCTTGCGCGTGGGCAAGTTTCCGCGTCTGTTCTTATATTTCAGGTGGAGTCCATGGCATGATACAACTGATCGCAGCCAGGCATGGTCTTCAGATACGTTCATCTCGCTACCTTCGTTTTGCTGGGTTCAGTGGGTAAGTGATCGTCACAGGATTGAAATCTAAGACATTTTGTCACAGAGCGTTGCACTATGCCGAGAGCGAGTTTGAGTCCTCCAGCTACTGTAGGCCAAAACGAAACTTCGTGGATACGATTCCTTGTCAACATCTGTTGAAAGGTCTCGATAATCCCACACTCAAAAAGCCTGACTAATGCCACCACTGCCCTTGCTTTAACATAGGGATTTTCCAAAATAACCTAGAAGACCTAATTGTTAAATCGCAAATTACATAGATGACATGAACATGAAGAAGTGAAAGTTTGCGTTTGCAACACGATTAACCCCGCGAGTACACTGAGCGAGACCACCAGGTCCAAATGGGCGATGCATTGTGTGATATTTTAGTCGATACTATCACTCCAAGCCGGCGTCACTGACTCTTACGTAGACAAGAAAATTTCTTGAGCTTAGTTACTTTGGAGATTCAAAAATTATTTTATTATACCAAAAAGCATGTCATGAATTGGCAAACAATTTGATGTGACTATTGTTGTGAACGGCATGCATCGGCTTTCAACATGTCAATCAAGAATCACAAGAGATAATTGCTCTATTTACTGGATCGTCACGCAATCTGTCTTCCTGGGTAGCAAAGATTGCGCGACGAGCGCAATAAGCGCCTGCGCAGGAGACTACAATCATTGAAGTGGTTCGGAAACTTGGGGGGCTTACCATTTGTCAGAGTAACCCAGCTGGGATGACGGTTGAATAATGGTAAGGTTTTTTTTTTTTTTTTTTTTTTAAAAGCCAAAACTTGAAACTTTGTATCATGTTAATTACGCCTAATTGTCTTAGGCAGATGAGAGACTGGAAACTGGAAAGTTGAGCAAATGGTAAGGAAATTTCCGCCGTTCCTTTTCCGAGCGGAAAGAAAAGGACTTTCTCTGGAGGTAGTGTACAATTTCAGAACGGATTTT